ATGCTTTTATTACTGATAAGGTGTCCTGTCAGAACACATCCTCTGCCAACAGAAGCACTCATGCAGTCACGTGTCTCCTGCCAGCATGAAGCCCCAAAGCTAAAAGGAAGCTGTCCATGGGGGCCTGGAGGCTGAGCCTTGAACAAGCCAGGATAACACTCCAGGTGATTTAGGAATGTGTAATCTACTCACATTGAAGGAGAAAATTAGTGCTAGGGAACAGGGCAGTACTAGATGAGTGAGGGAGGGAGGTATCCAGACACACCTGAGTGTTTGCATGTCTTTATATTTTATTCTAAATTCTGAATTATCCCTTTCGATCTTATTAGGCTGTAATTATGTGCTGCTGCTTTGACAGCAAGCCAGTCATATTTTCATTTTAGAAGAGCAACACTGAATGGGAAACAGCCAGTTGCCCTTCCCACTTTGAGCCTTCAATCTGCCTGTGCTCCATCAGGCAGCCCCCATCCCCACCCTAGTTCCAGGGCTTCCTGCTGCCAAGTAGTCGTGGACGATGGAGACATTAAAAGCATACTCCAGGGGCTCCGCCAAGCAGACCAGGTGCTCAGGAAGGCAGACTCTGGCCTCCGGGTGGAACTGACTTCTTACAGAGTACTAAGCATGGGATGGGAGAGGTGCCCAGGGCTTGGGCTGACCCGCCTCAGCCCCTGCAGCCCTAGTAAAATCTGTAGAATCATGTTCAACTTCCAGAATTCTCCATTCATTGCTAAGTCTGTATGGTTCCAGGATTGTCCAGAGATGGTAAAACATTGGTAACTGCCCTTCCTGAAAGTGCAAGTCATGTACCTGCCAGGCAGGAGTCTGCCTATGGAACGTTCTGTAGGATCTTAGCCACCCTACACAGGATGCATGATTGGCCCAGATAATATGTTAGTTCCTCAGTCATGTCCAACTCTGTGCAGCCCCATGACCTGTAGCCTGCCAGGCTCCTCTGTCCATGAAATTCTCCAGGCAAGCATACTAGAGTGGGCTGCTGTTTCCTTCTCCAGAGGATTTTCCCAACCCAGGGATTGAACCTGGGTCTCCTGCATTGCAGGCAAATTCTTTACCACTGAGCCATCAGGGAAGCCTAGAAAACACTCTGTTAGTCCACATAATATGCCACTGCCCATTCCTCCTTCAGGGGTAGTTGTGGTGGTGGGCGGTGGGACAGTCAGCTGGCACCGTCACAAATGCTGGTTGCTCACATGAAATCAAGTGAGGAAAAATGTTCTCTGTGCTCATTTACGAAGAACTGGCCCTTTGATCCAGCTGGACCACACACAAGGAAAGGTGAAGGGCAAACAGACCCCAAAGACTATCAGCACCTTAGTCAACTCTGTCTGATGGCAGTAAGTGGAAACCCACCCAAAACAGCTTGATATAACACAGTCGTCGAGGACTTCTCCTTGAGCCTTCCCCAGAGGCAGGCTGTAGAAGCTGGGGTACAGTGTGACCTCCCCTCCACCAGACATGGCTGATCAGAGCAGAGGTGGATACTGACCCAGACTGGGCCTGAGCCTTTCTCCTCATTTGGACGAGGGCTGGAGGGTGATCAGGACATCTCTGTGGCTACTTGAATGTGTACACTCCAGGGCTATGAAGCCGCCATGCTCAGCCTTGTGCACATAGAGAACTGAAGGAAGCTGGCCTCAACTAAGATGCTTCAGACCATGGGACCCAGAGAGAGAAGGGCTTCTAGGTCCTCCTGGGGTTGGAGGGAGGTGCCACCTGTCCCTAGGTTCCAGGAGACATCTATCCTATAATAACTACTCTTTTTGCCCAAGTTAGCCTGGGTGAATTTCTGTCACTTAGACCCAAAAAAGCCTAAGACAGAGGGTATTGTAGGAATTCAGAGACTGTCACAGAAAGGAAAAGCAGGAAATGTACTGGGGCTCAGGAATTGGAAAAATCATGTCTTTCTCAATCTGCCCGTCTGGTTCTTTTTCTTGTCTCTATTTGTCTCAACAGAACAGTTTTCTTTTCCTGTTTCCATCAATGAATCTCAAACCCAATGGTTGCCCTAGTCCTGAATCTATGCAATCTTTAATTTCAACCATCAGACTGTAATCTCTGTGAGAGTGAAAGTTGCTCAGTTGTGTCTGGCTCTTTGCAATCTCATGGACTGGACAGTCCGTGGAATTCTCTAGGCCAGAACCCTGGAGTGGTCCTCCAGGGGAACTTCCCAACCCAGGGATCGAACCCAGGTCTCCCACATTGCAGGCAGATTCTTTACCAGCTGAGCCATGAGCAAAGCCCAAGAATACTGGAGTGGGTAGCTTATCCCTTCTCCAGCGGATCTTCCCAACCCAGGAATCAAACCAGGGACTCCTGCATTGCAGGCGGATTCTTTACCAACTGAGCTAGGAGGGAAACCCTCTAGTTAAATATGAGAAAGAAATTCTGCTTGGCCTGGGGTACAAGGAGTCTCACACAGTATTTTAATCAGGGGCCCTTTCTTCCTCACTCCTTTCTTTCTTTCCTTTCTATCACAGAAGACCATCTCTAAGGAGCCCAAGAAGAAAAGTGGGCAGAGATTAGTTCACATCACTGACATGAACAGACTGGAAAGGACTCAGGAACAACTCGGCTGAGAAATACCAACAGTGTCCCTGGGGCTCCAGCCCTCTGTTGGCCTCATCCCCTCATACTGGACCTTTGGGTGGAGTATGGGGAAGGCTGACACCTCTAGGCTTATATCACCAGGAGTAAATAAAGGCTTATATCACCCAGACTTTTCAAAGGCCTTCTGTCTCCTGTTACCTGTATGCAAAATTGCAGTTAAGGAGCTAATAACCCAGTCAGAGTCACACTTCCTTCCTTTGGTTGATCACTGTAGCCAGGAGTGCCAGGATAGTGTGAAGACAGCTCCTCAATGCCCCCATGGAAGGGAGGGAGCTCCTTAAAGAATAGAGCTGGTTAGGAGGGTCCACTGTCCGCCATCTTCAGTGTGACACCCACCCCGTCAGGGGCCAGGGGTATGGTCGATAAGCATCAGGGAAAGCTGGGTTGTGGTGATGGATGCAGATCCTCCCCTTCCGTCTTCTGATCACTCTCCCTCAGATCCTTGCCTTTGCAGATCTGAATCGTTCTGCCAGAAGCCATTTGGTTTCCTGTGTTCTTGTTCTCCCTGGAACTTTAGTTTCCCGCTGTGACCTGTTCTGCCTGGACTCAGCCCACTGGCTCTTGGACCCTTGCTTACACTCTGGGGGAAGACTCTGGAAGCAGGGCTCTGAGCGAGAGTCTGGGTTAGTATTGCAAACTAGGGAGAGTAGACCTTGGCTCACAGGGGCCACTGGGGCCACAGGAGGTCAGTTTATGGGGGAAATGTTTGTACCTGGCACAGTGTCCCTGGCCCAGGCATTAGACCTGGAAGATTCCAGGTTGGACTGACTTCTGTTCCAGGGAGGGTCTTAAGAGTGAGTAGCCCTTCTAGCAGCAATTATAAGCGCCTCTCTGTGTTGTTTCTGTCATCCCCAAGTCTTCAGCAAAGTTCTGTCAAATGCTAACAATAACAGAAAGACATTAAAGGTCAGAGGCCTGCAGGCAAACCCTGCCTTCCACACTGAGACACGGGGAGACATCCGGATTACTTCACAGCTCCAGTTGTCTCTCAAACAAGTCTGTTCAGACATCTTTAAATATGCGTTTTAGCACTTCTCTCTGCCAGAGTGTTGACACTCGGGCTGGCTTTCCCCGGGCTGAGTGATGCCTCGACGGGCGTGTGTCACCCTTCCTGGTACTTGGAGGTTCAGGCATCGCCAAGAGGCAGGAGACGGAGCCAGAGGAGCATTCCTGCTTCTCAGTCAGTATCTTTTCTGTTCGCAGATCGCTCAACACCAGCCACTTAGTCCATGTGGACAAATCTGTCCAGACTCTCAAAAGATACAATTCTTGAGGTGAAGAAAGAGGAAGGACTGTCTTCCTCACACCCTTCGCCCACCTCCTCCTATTCCCTGCCTCTCAGCTCTGGTTGGGATGATTCTGAGAGTGGATACAAAAGTGGAAGGTAGGGCATTTCAGTGAAGTCAGATGAGGGTGAGGACCCTGACCCTGGGTCTCCCTGGGAGCTTGGGGTGGTGCTGACTTTGGGACCCATCTCACAAAAATATGAACTAGCATCTGCTGCTGCTGCTAAGTCACTTCGGTCATGTCCCACTCTGTGAGACCTCATAGACGGCAGCCCACCAGGCTCCTCTGTCCCTGGGATTTTCCAGGCAAGAATATTGGAGTGGGTTGCCATTTCCTTCTCCTAAACTAGCATCTAATAAGGTTTAAACCAATGCCAGGCTGTGTTAATCAGTAACTCTCTTTAAACAACCTTTTTATTTTGAAAAAAATCTTAAACCTACCGAAAAGAATAGTATAATAAACTCCCAAATGGCCTTTTCTAAGATTCACTGATGATAACTAATATTTTGCTACCTTGGCTTTTTTCTCCATCTCTTTCCCTAACACATACACACACAGCTGTAATTTTAAAATTTTATTTATTTAATTTTTTGACTGTGCTGGGTCTTTGTTGCTGCTCGGGCTTTTTTGCAGCTGTGGCGAGCGGGGTCTACTCTCTAGCTGTGGTGCACAGGCTTCTCATTGCAGTGGCTTCTCTTGTTGCAGAGCGCAGGCTTTAGGGCGCTCCAGCTTCAGTAGTTGTAGTTCCCAGGCTTAGTTGCTGTGTGGCCTGTGGGATCTTCCCGGATCAGGGATCAAACCCATATCTCCTGCTTTGGCAGGTGGATTCTTTACCACTGAGCCACTAGGGAAGCCCTGTAATTATGTTAATATTTTTTTTCCTGAACTATTTGAGGATTAGATACAAATGTCGTATCCCTATATACTTCAGCAGCATATATCTCTTAAGAACAAGGATATTTTCTTACATATCCTTAGGACAACTACCAAACTGGAAATGTGGCTGATATACACTACTATCCAACATAGCGTCCACAATCAAAGTTTGCTCTTTGTCCCATACTGTCTTTTATTTTTTTTTTTGTTTGTTTGTTTCCAACGAGCGTTTATTATTAGTTAAACCATGATTCAGGATCCCAGGGTGGGGATCACCATGTACCCAGGTCCCCCTTCACCACGGGGGAGAAGGACGGAGAACAGAGGAGGTGGGATGGAGCCAGTTCAGATCTTCCCAGGAAACGTGCCTTCTGCCCGGCGGTCGTCCCAAGCTGACACCCAGGATATGGGGCAGAGGGACTTGTACACACGCCGGTACCATTCGCACACGGAGACGTCACCCCCTTTAGCGGTCATTGCCTTCTCACAGCGGTGGAAGTCCAGGTAGTTCTGCCAGCAGTTCCTGGTCTGGTTCTGGTTGGGGAAGCGGCTATCAAAAGGAGCAGTCTGGTAGTTCTTGATTTTGATCTTGATGTCTTCTGCCATAGTGCTGACTTCCTAAAGATGCCCCTGAAGTCGCTGGAAGCTCAATGTGACCCTCAGCAAAGACGCCAGTACCGGACCGGAAGCGGAAAAATGGTGCATACTGTCTTTTAAAGCATTTGTTTTTTCCCAGTGCAGGATCCAATCCAGAATTACATGTTGTGGTTAGTTGTCATATTTCTTCAATCTCCTGTAATCAGCAAATATTCTTCTCATTTCTTTGTCTTTCATAATATTGACTTTTTGGAAGAGTGTGGATGTCCGACAGCTTTCTCCTGGTTAGATGCAGTCTGTGCATTTGGACAAGGATGCCGAGTGAGTGCTGCTGCAGCCTCCTTGGTGCCTCCATCAAGAGGCACAGGATGTCATTTGGCCCCACTATTGGTGATGTTAACTTGGGTCACCAGGTTAATGTGATCCCTGCCAAAGGTTACTTTTTTTCCCTTGAAATTAATAAGTGCTCTGTTAATTAATGTGAGATGCTTTGAGACTGTCTTTTCCCCCATAAACTCTTGCCCAATAGTTTTAGCATCCACTGCTGATTCTCTCCTGTATCAGCAATTACTGTGACAGCTGAGAAACGGAGTTGATGCCTTTCAACATCTGGAATCAGTTGCTATTTATTATCTCATTTCACAGATTAAACCACTGGGGCTCTGAAGGTAAAGTAAATTGTAAAGTCAAGTCATTGGGTAAAGTCATTGTCCCACAAAGTAGAAAGGCCACAAAGCTGTGAGATTCAGACTCAGGCCTAACTTCAGAGCAGGTTTGTCTGACCTCTTCTCTCCTGCTGCTCTGTTGCTTCTCCACGCCATCAGCTGTGGGAGGTGACGGGATGGTCTCTCAACCCTGTTTGCCCCACTAAACACATTAGTTTCTGTTTCTTTCCCTAAACTGGAGGCTGAGGCTCTGGTCACAGTTGGGTGGAAAGAAATGGGCCTCAGGGTCATTTTTGCAACCCCCTGCCCCAACCATGTCGAAGCCTTTCCCTCTTAGTCCCGTCATGTTCCTTCCTCAACTGATAGAACAGAAATCTCACAAAGAAGTCAACTCAATGAGGGGGAGAGCGGGAGGGCCAAATTAGGAGCATGAGAGTAACAGATACAAACTATTACATATAAAACAGATAAGTAACAAGGATACATTGTATAGCATAGGGAATTATACCTATTATCTTGTAATAACCTATGTTGTTTAATTGCTCAGTCGTGTCTGACTCTTGCAACCCCTGGACTGTAGCCCACCAGGCTCCTCTGTCCATGGGATTTCCCAGGCAAGAATACTAGAGTAGGTTGCCATTTCCTTCTCCAGGGAATTTTCCTGACCCAAGGATTGAACCCATGTCTCCTGCATTGCAGGTGGATTCTTTACCATTGAACCTCTTGGGAAACCTGTAATAAACTATAATAGAGTATAATCTGCAAAAAATACTGAATCACTAGGTTCTACACCCCAAACTAATACAATGTTGTAAATCAACTATACTTCAATTAAAAAAAGTCACCTCAATTATTCTGCCCCCTTCCCCAAAACACACACACATACACACACACCTCCCAGAGCTAACAGGCCCTCTCCTCTCCTGATCTGGCTGCAGAGGGAGGGTACGTGTGGGGTGGACCAGGCTTCCCAGTGTGAACAAGAAGTGCTTGTGGTGGGAGGAGAACCAGAGGCAAAGCTACAGGGCCACTGCAATGTCACACACACGTGTGTGTGTGTGTGTGTGTGTGTGTGTGTGTGTGTTATAGCTGGGAGTTCTAAAAAGGAGTGAGGAGAGAGGCTAGATCATGCTGAAAAAGTGCTGATTTGGGACTTGAACTGGGTCCACCATCAACCTGTGTGTTATTTAACATCTCTAGGCCTTGCTCTTGTTATCTGTAAAAGGAACATTATGGTACCTACCTCTAGAGGTTGTGAGGATTAAATGAACGAATCCATGGAAAGTGCTTTGCAGGTGAGTTTTTGCTCCATCAACGGTGGGGGTGTGTTGCAGAGAAGATGCTCTAGGGGACGGTGGGTGGCAAAGGAGCTTTGGAGGGCCCTGGCCCCAGGACAGTGTCTACACGGGGAGCAAACCGGTGGTTGGTCACTGGAGAGGCTGCTGAGGAGAAAGGTGAGACTGAGGCAGGAAGGCTATTCTGGTCATGTGCGCTGGGAGGGCCAGATGACTCACTCACTTACTTGTTTACACTTTATCTCTCACCTGCTTCCAGAAAGGCTTTGAAGTAATTGAAGCCTCAGGTGCCTCAACCTGCTGAGACAAGGCAATGTCCCAGCTGGAGCATTGCTGGGGCGAGGTGGCTCGGCTTGGCAGGCCCTCGGCTCCCCCGGAGGAAGGAGGAGGGCCAGCTTCTGCACATGACGGGGAGGACAGCAGGGATGAGGCTGAGGAAGGGAAGCTGGACCAGGCCCTGACTGACCACCAGCCCAGGGGACAGAGCAGCTGGAGTGTCCATTCTGGACAACGGAATGTGGGAGGAGGCCTGGTGGCAGCGGGCACTGAGACCAAGAGTTCTCAGAGTCTGACTGGGTCCACTTCTGGGATTCGCTCAGTTGCTTTCTTGAGTATAGACAGCCCTGCTGGGTATTCCTGGTGGCCAATCCTGGGTCCTCCAGCTGCCCCAAGGCCCAGGCCCTCTCCACCAGACACCACTAGCTCCTCATCTCTTGGGGGAGGGCCTTTCCTCTGGGGTCCAGGTGCCCCTGGCCTCAGGCCGAATCATTTGTTGGGTCCCTGTCCTCCCCCACCTCCCAGCCTCCTCCCTCCCCTTCCCTTACCCCACCCACAGTTGAGTTGGGCCCCAACCACCCCACCCTAAAGCAGTGGGACACCCTGATGGTTCACTGCCTTGACAGCTATGAGGAGGAAGCTCCTGCCTCCACCCGCAGGAAGTCCTTCTTTCTCTGCCCCTCCTGTACACCGTTTCCGGCCTCTTACCTAGAACATCCTGACTTGCCCCAGGCTCCCCTCAACTCAGGTTTCCTTAGGGGGCAAGTTGATGGCGTCCCCACATTACACCAAGTTTTGGCAAGTCCAGCCCAACTTTGACAGACTTTCTGTCACACTTCCCTACAGCTACTTAATCCACTCTTTACTGTGTAATGGAATACCTTCCATTTAGGGAGGTGGAGGGGGTCTCCCCCAGGCGGGATTAAACGTGATGACAGTCCCTAAAGGTAGGGGCTGGAATTCAGGCTGGAAAGGTAAGGCAGAAAGACTGACGGGCGACATCCGAAGTTAGGAGCCAGCATCTGCCAGCCTGGGTTGTGGCAGAAAGGAGGAAGGAGGGGCCTCGGCAGGAGCAAAGCCCACCCTGAAGACACACCAGGGGGCTTGGCAGACAAGGTGAGAGGGGCTGAATGAGAGAGGAGGGAAACGAGCACAAGGAGTCAGGCATCCGTGGTGCAGGGCATGGGCGAGGCAAGCTGGGCACCCAAAGCCAGTGCTCTGGGACAACCCAGAGGGATAGGGTGGGGAGGGAGGTGGGAGCGGGGTTCAGGATAGGGGGCATACATGCATACCTGTGGCTGATTCATGTTGATGTATGGCAAAAACTGTCACAATATTGTAAAGTAATTATCCTCCAATTAAAATAAATAAATTAAAAAAAAAAAAGAGCAGGGAGCTTCAAGGCTAGAAGTGCGCTTGCCTCAAATCTTGAAGGCCAGAGGCCAGGACAGGGTGCAAAGAGGGCAGGGTGGTGGGGGAGGCAGGAGGTGCCTGGGCAGACAGTTGTTGACCACCATCTGGGATAAAACCTTTTCATAGGTTGAGGCGCATCTGTGTGGAAACAAAGTTCCCTGTGAGAGGAATCCCTGGCTGCAAGGAGCAGAAACATACTCAACCTGCTTAACCAAAACAGAATTTACTAGAAGGAAACAGCAGCAAATCTGTCATACACTTCAAAAAATTATTATTATTTATTTGATTGCATTTGGTCTTAGTTATGACATAGAAGATCTTCAAGGTGACGAACAAACTCTAGCTGTGGCCAGCGGCATGTGGAATCTTAGTTCTCCAGCCAGGGATGAAACTTGCATCCCTTGCATTGCAAGGTGGATTCTTAAGACCAGACTGACAGGGAAGTCCCTGCCATGGATTTCAAGTTGCAGGGATGAAGCTGAACCTAATGACGAGCTAGATACAGGCACTTGAAAGTGATAACTGGGGTTATTATCCCCAGATGTCAGGAAGCTTACCCACTTGTGTGTCATACTCTCTCTCTCAACTGGTTTTATCTGCGTCTCTTTGCACCTTGTAGTGGACATTTGTCATTTTGGGGCTCCTCAACATCTATATCCCCCTAATAGCACCCCTATTTCCTATGGAGGACTGTTTTTAAATATACTCTGGATTTTGTTTTTCGTCAGGAGTGATGAGGCCAGCTGGTCAGGAGATGACTGCCATTGGAAAGATCATTTGTTACTGTTCCCGAGAGGAGGGTATGCCTGCCACACGGGGCCACAAGGGGAAGCTCTGGGGTCACCCAGGAGGCAGAAGAGCCCAGAGAAAGCAGGGCACAAGCCTGTTGTGGTTTCTGTGGGAAAGGCAAGGCAATGGGAGGGTAAGCAGCTTTATAATTTGCAAAGTTGAAGAATCTCGGTGGTTTCTGGGATCTAGGATGGTATGTAGTTGTGTGGTATCTGGGCCCTGGGATGATCAGGGCTGAGGGATATTGTCTCCTGGAGTGTAGGAGCCAGATAGGGGCGTTGTTTTGGAGTATGAACTATGGACTGGTTAGTTAGTCTATGTATGAAAGTCACATTCCCTGTACTTTCCTGGTGGTCCAGTGCCAAGACTTTGTGTTCCCAATGCAGGGGGCCTGGGTTCAATCCCTGGTCAGAGAACTAGGTTCCGCATACTGCAACTAAAGATCCTGTATGCTGCAACTAAGACCTGGTGCAGCCAAAGTAAATAAATATTTTTAAAATAAAAAAAAATTTAAGGCATATATATATATATATATATATGGTCATACTGCCTGTTTGTAATCTCTAAGAACTAGTTAACCCTAGAAATGAGCAGTATCTCCCCAGTCAGTAAGGCCCTAGCCGCCAGAGCATCAGGAATATAGAAAATCAGAAATTA